CGACATCCAGCCACACAGTCCGATCTACCTTAATTTAATTTACACATAAACAACACACAACCACCACAATCTCATAAACCAGTCAAAGATATGAGAGTTACCAAACTCAAGCTCAGAGTCCACATGCAGGAAATAGCTTTGTTTTTTATGATGGTTTAACCTGTATAGAAGCTACACTGTTATCGCTTCATTGTTATATATTGTATATTTTTGGAATACCAATAAAAATCTATTTTAAAAAAAGAGAGAGAGACCTTAAGAGTCAGTTAAAAACTCAAGACTTGTCTACTGGAAAGGGGATTGGGTACTGGATAGAGTGTCCCAGCCTTCTGGAAACCAAAAGAGAGAGACAATACTCAAAGCAAATGTACTGGAGTGTTTGGGAGAATACTGCAACATAAAGATTTAAGTCACTGCGAATAGCTTAAGAAACTCTCATTAGCCTGAAACATAAGCACTAATAAAGTCTGTGCCTGTAGTGGTTTTACCTCAGAAGTTTCAACCTCTGATTTCACCTGACCTTTCCCCTCTATGTTGAATGAAATATCTTGTTATTGTTGAATGTCAAGATGCCTCCAGTGCCATTTAAGTTGTTTAAGTTAAAGGAGGCTTCCCAGCCTTCCCTCGGGTTCCTCGACTTGAGCCAACAACCAAAACAGGGTGGGACAGCCAGAGTTCTTCAACAAAGAAAAAAAATACATTACTAGGGTGGTTCAGTCAGTAAAGAGAAAGAGGAACGGAGGGAAAATCTTGCCTCTGAGCCTCCTATGTCTTAAAACTGCCCTCAAACAAAAACAGGAAGTCTAGAGATTTACTAAACCTGCAGTGAACTGTTTTTTGTTTTTGTTTTTAAAGGAGAGAGGGGAAAGGGTGAGAGAGGAGAGGAGAGAAAACGAGAAGGAAAAGCATGGGAGGAGAAAGAGAAGTCCTTCCAGACTTAATAGTTCGACTCGCACGAAGCAGATATTGTATTTGCTCACTTGCTGGAAGAGGTATTTCGGAACTGAGGCTCACAACACCAGTAGCAAGAAAGCACGTACGCCAGTCCGCATCGCATCTCAGTGGGGTGTACATAACACGCGTGGGCGCCAGCGAGCGGACATGCACATACCGCGTTCCCACTGACTGCCGTGGAATTGTGCCATTGCTATCAATGGGATTGCGATCAGACAACGGATTCATGAGTGACCGGTGCCTAGGACGAAGGCAGCAAATCTCACGTAAGAAGAAACACGGGCTTCAGAAAGACTCGCGTTTAATCTGCGGTTGATATGGGGGCGGAGGGAATTCACGTTATCCGTCCTCTATTGGAATCTCTTCAGCATCATGCAAAGGAGTTCAGATTGTGTGTGGATTCAAGCTCCTCCCCCCTCCCCCCGCTACCATTTAGTACCCATAAAACAAGGGAATTGATCTGGGAGATGTATTCGAATTAAGACGTACTAAATCGATGACAGATCCATATCACGCTGCGTTTGACAAGACGTGTACACGGAGGCCATGACGAGGCACCACATAGCTGCGTCCACAGCCTTGCCTCTCTGTCCTCCCCCCCTCCCCCTTTGAGCATGCATATTCATCCGGGGAACTCGATGTAAGGACGACGACGACGACGACGACAATTAAAACGGCGAAGTTTTCATTGCACTAGGAAACACTCAGGCAACCCTTGAAGGCAACGTTTTAAAAAAGAGGGAGTCTATAGTCTTCCTAATAATCTCGGCCTAGGGCGCCCCCGAGGGTTGGCTTTTGGAGCAAAGGGCGACCATGTGTATAGAACCAGCGCCAGCGGTGTGCAAGTCGTGTGTGTGCGAGTGTGAGTGTGTGTGGGGGGGCATATCAGGCTGGATCCGGTTGAGAAGAGGACATGGGGGGGGGGGGTCAATTATTCTCGGGCTGGATGGTGCCAAGATTTCGTTCCAGCCGTCCAGGAAATGCACTCCCTTCCCCCCCCCCCAGGAACGGGCTGCCAGAGTTTCCCCCCACCTGAAGGCAGGCTAGAAGGCGGTGGCCGTTCCCGCGGGGTTTCTCAGCAAGCAGCCCTGTCGCTCTCTCTCCAGCCCCTCCGGGCTCCTCCGAGGGAAAGAAGAGCTCCGGGTCCTCCAGCAGCAGGTTCCTGAGAGGCGCAAAGAGCGCCGGAGTTGGCTCGGGAGCGCTTTCCCGTCCTCGGCGTCTGTTTCAAATTAGGCGCAGAACTACCGGAGAGGCCCTCTGCCAACGAGTCCGCCTGCAGCATTTCCTGCGGCGGCGCGCCGAATCCAGCGCCAAGAGCTTCCCAGTCGGGGGACCTGGGGCGGGAGGGGGAGCGCGCCTGGCCCGGCCTGTCCACTCGGGGCCACCCGCCCGCCCGCCGCCCTCTGCTCTGCGCGCCCTTTTGTGACGGGGAGGGAGAGCGAGCTGCCTTCGGCGCTAGGAAAAGACGGGGGCTGTTCCCCAGTGAAGTGGGGGCGTCTCGTTCCCCCCCCCCCCCCAGTCGTGCCTCTTTGGCGGCTCCCCGCACTTCCTTGGCGCACTTACGACTCTGAGTTCCTGCAGAGTAGAAGAAGGCTGAGGATCGGGGCGGCAGCCTCTCGCCTGCTCGCGGTCGACCGGGTCTTTAAGGAAAGGCCGTGTTTGTGCAAATACTAAAAGGCGATGCCATAGACTCCCAAAGCCTTCGCGTTTCCCTCCTCCACTGCCGCCCACCTGTAACTGTTCGGCAGGGAAGGTAAAAACGGCCACGGAGTCCCTTCCTCCCCTTCCCAGCCCCTTCCCAGAGCGCACCGAGGTCTCGAGTGTCTCCAACTGGGAAAGTATATCCGGTGGTGAAGGGGGCGCGAAAGTTTAGAAAGAACTTGGGAGAGGGAGCCCCGGGCATGCTTACGAGTCGTGATCCCCCCCCCGCCCCTTCCACCAGGTCCGTTACGTTTTTAAACGGAAGACCCGTCGACGGCTCGGCTATTGGGTTCCACCTCGCTGGGAGAGAAGCGGAGAGGCGGATCTGACGTCTGCGGCCAGATTTCGTCATCTGAGACGAAAACTCTCCCAAAAACCGAATCCTTCTCTCCCATCTACGAGTAAATGGACTCTGAGCGGCCCGAGGGAAGGGACTGCGGCTCGGTCCTGGCGCGCGCCAGCCCTCCTCCTCACATCTGTTGCGTCCTCCTCACATCTGGGCGCCAGCCTCGCCAGCCAGCCCCTCGCTCCCGTCCAGGCATCCCGCCCCGCCAAGAGGAACTCAGGTTAGTTTTAGGTGGGGCTCCGAGATCTTTCCTTCTGGACTCGCTCCGGTCCCAAGAGCCCGCGAGTCCGCCCCAAACGTGGGAGCTGAGGTCTGACACGGACCCGGAGCCGACTTGCCCAGAATTCGTTCTGGTCGAGATTTACTTCCACGTAAATTCGGTTTCCGGTGGCGATTTCAGTGACCTTTGCAGCCCCGAACACCGCGTCTTTACACGGAAGGAAATCCCTCGGAAGCGACTGGCGCTTCTTTTTGAACGGGCGTGCGCAGGATGGAAGCTCCCCCCCCCCTGCTTCAGTCCTGCACCCCGATTTGGCGGGACAGACGTCGCTGTGGACGTGGCGGCCCTGTCTTTCCCCCCTTTTGGGAGGGGGGCAAAGGCGCCTCTCTCCGTAGCGCCAATCGAGCAAGTTCTGGCCGATCTGGAATTATTAGGACAACGAGCGTGCCAGGCAGAGGCGGCAGGGATCCGGCAGGGACCCTCCGTCGCAGGCGCTTCGGGGCAGGACTGCAGGGCGCGGGGGCGAGAAGACCGAGGCGCCCGCCACGGCTTCGTAGAATTGTATGTCTGTCATGGCGAAGGCGGCAGATAGGAAGAAGTAGACAGAGACACAGAGACACAGAGAGACAGAGAGAGAGGGGGGGGGGAGGACCACGTTATAGAACAGATGTAGTTGCGCACACAATATCCCGGAGACCGCCTGCAAACTGCTCCCACGGACCCTCCCTCTCCAAGGCAGTCCCTCCCTGCGTCGGCTGGGTCGCCTCCCAAGGCAGCGGCAGGAGCAGGAGAGGTCCGGGCTGCTGCTGGCAAACAAAAGTGAGTTGTCACCAGGCCGCCTCGCTCCAGGTGGCTGGGAAGGCCGGCTCCTTTGGCGGCGCCCTCCCGCCCGAGCGCGGCCGCCTCGCCGGCTGACCCCTTGCAAACAAGCGTGCCCCCCGCCTAGGGGGGCGGGAGCGGGGCGGGGAGCGAGGCGAGGGAGGGAGCGCGCGAGGGCGGTTCCCCGCTGAGCGCCAGGCCTGAATGGGAGCCAATCGCGCGGCCCTGGCCCCTGCCAATCACCGGTCTCCCTCCAATCCCACCCGCGCACATTTCCAAACTCTGGTTCCCAACCGCGCCGCTCAAATGTGCCGAGCGCTCTGCCAATCGCTGGAGGCCAGAGAGCGGGGAGAGGATGGAAGGAGCAGCCGCCGAGCGGGGCCGGCCAGCAGCAGCAGCAGCAGACAAAAGAGGGCGAAGGAGAAGTTAAAGAGCCGCTCCGGCGCTCCATGTTCGGCAAGGCGGCGGCGGCCGGAAGGGGCTCGAGGGCGGCGGCGGCGGCGGGCAGGGGGAGCCGGGCCGCGGGGCCCC